CCCCGCAGCAGCGGCAGCAGCGCATGCGCCACCCGGAGGGCCCCAAAGAAATTAACTGCAAATTCTTCGTTGGCCTCGAAGAGGAAGGCCTCGCGCTCCACTGCCTGCAGCAGCAGCAGCGACAGCAGCAGCAGCAACAGCAGCAGCAGCAGCAGCAGCAGCAGAATGAACAGGGAGTGCAGGTCTGGAGGGGCCAGTGCGGTTTCGCCGTGCTTCTTCCCCTGCAATCCCACACTTCTCTCCCTCACTATCCTCAGCAGCAGCAGCAGCAGCAGCAGCAGCAGCAGGTTACCTGCGCCGGAAACGAAGCCCAAACCCCCGCCCCACACACAACCGCGTGCAGCCGGGGGGCCCCCAGGGGGCCCCCCAGGGGGCCCCCCAGGGGCCCCCCAATAAACCCCCGGAGGCTTTTGAGGGCCTCTTCGCTTTCTTTGCTGCTCCGCACGTCCCACTTCACAGCCACAAACCCGCAGCACGCACAACACACACCGGTGCCCTCAGGGGCCCCCAAGGGGGCCCCCAAGGGGGCCCCCCCAGGGGCCCCTGTGGGGGCCCCTGTGGGGGCCCCTGTGTGCGCCCCCTTGGGGGCCCCTTCAAGGACCCCCAGAGGGGGTCCCACAGAGGTGGGTTTGGGGGCTGCTGCTACGTGTGCAGCTGTGTCTTCCGAAGTTGCATTTTGCTGGTGCTGCTGCTGCAGTTGCTGCTGCTGCTGCTGCTGCTGCCAGTGGGGGCAGGCTTCGTCGTGCAGCAGCGCAGCTGTTGCTTCCACTTCTGCTGCTGTGGAGCAGCAAGCAGCAACAGCAAAGCCTCGGCGCAGCAGCAACTTGCATGCAAGCAGGCAAATGCCGCCACCCGCCCCTGAAACAGCTACACACAGCGGCCTCTTGCTGCTGCTGCTGCTGCTGCTGCTGCTCAGCGCTGCTTTGCAGCTGCAGCGCGCAGCAGCGTAAGCCTGCAGGAAGGCAAAGCCACTCAGCAGCAGCAACAGGGGGGCCCCGAGGGGCCCTTCCAAGAGGCCCCCTCCTTGCTGCAGCAGCAGCAGCAGCAGCAGCCTGCTGCTGCCGTGCAGGGCTAAGACGCGGCCGAGAAGATCTGCAGCACAAATGTACGGTAAGCTGCGAGGAAAGAAGCGCCTGCTGCTGCTGATGCCGCTGCTGCCGCTGCTGCTGCTGCTGCCGCTGCT